CGGCAATCACTGTGTAAATAATCCCACAAGACTTGTTAATGCCAAATAAATTTTCTTTTAGTTAGTAAATATCATTGGCCGAGGAAAATTTTTTTCTCAGTGGGCTATCATTTTTATGCATTTTATCTATTTTTGTCATTTTTTTTGTAAGTTTAGAAAAAACGAAGGAAAATGTTCGCACCATCCTAATAGTTCATCAGTCATCAAATAATGAAAAAACCCAAAAACTTGATATTTTTCACATTGATCCCATAGTAGGTTTGTCAGAAAAATGAAGCAAGCAGTTGGCCCTTCCTAACGCTAGGAGACATACGATTGTTACTTCACATGTTATTTATTCATTGTTTTTTCATTTTATTGTGTCATCAATATCATTGATGGTTGGCTTCTGAATGGAATACCTGTGATCTCTCAGCTTTTTGGAGTGAATTTTCTCGTTTCTATCATTTAGAAACAAAAAGCAAAGTTGTCCCTCAGAACATACCTCGCCGAACTACTGAACTGCGAAACCTTTCAAATATGAAGAGCGCGCCGAACTAAAAGTCGAAAGAGCCCTGTCCTTAACTTGTTCCTAAAAATTGATAGAAAATGCACAATCCTCAAATAATTAGATCACTCCAATCACTGTCTCTGCCAATCTTGCGGCGTGCTTTTGCTGCGGTAGACCTGCCACGTGCTATAGATACAATAAAATTGCGATATACTATTGCCACGACAATTCCATGACCATTGGAAAGCTCAAATGTGAATAAACTGATTGCTTTTGTTTAAAATATTTGAAAGAGTTCGATTGGGCTGAAATTTGGTACAGAGTTAGTCGTCATTGATAACTATGATCCGACAGAATGACGATTTTTTCTGAATTTTTCGGGCCTGTTAATTCTACCATTTTTAAAAACGTGACCACCAAATGGACATCCGCACATTCACACGGGGTGGTCAAACTTCGTATTTTTACGTTTCAGACCATTCTACATCGTTTCCAAGCAACATTAAGAAATGGAAAAATAGAACGATTATAATGCTTCCATTCGGAAGCAACAACAACAGAAAACTTAAAAAATAAGTAGAAAATTTGTATCTTTTAGAGGTTATGCAATTTCAATCGGCCTAAGATCACCTGCGGTTATTTTAAATCTTAAAGGTCTCGAAAACCCATTTATATACGATATGCTGCGAATAATTATTGAACTATTCCTGTTAATATTATTATTAATTATGACCATTCTTCAAATTATTTCATCATTACCTATATCTATTCGATAGTTTATTATTGCTTACTTTAGGAATACATAAGAAAAAAATATATGAGAGAAATCAATCAAAAAATTGAATTCCAACAATTTTTGTATGTTTTTCCTTAAAAAATAATTATTAACCTGTTAGTAAGAGTTCAAAAAAGAAAAGATTGCATCCAAAGTATATGCAGGAGATGTAATGTTGCCATGAATAATAGCAAATTCTTGCTTTTTATATCAAACTTCGTTCTCAAAGCATTGAATAGGTAATGGAACATGTTTGAATAGTTAAAGAAGCTATATATACCGGAGGGCAATCATGAATTTTTAGTAGGACGAGATGAAAATTTTACGATTAGACCAAATTTTCAATTCAGCAGTGAAATGGCATAATTTTCTTTTCCTTCAATTTTCACGATTCTCGATATCATTTCGAAAATAACTGAATTGAATAAATTCTCAGATGACTTTAGCAGGAAATTAAAGGGGATATCAATTCAGGAAAAAAAGGAAGTTATGGATATATTTCGGTAATGTCGAAAAGTAGTTTCTCTAAACTAGCGCATGAAAAATATAATTTCTCAGGCCCACACCTACACTCGGAAAAATCCTGTTCAAATTCGAGGATATGTACAGTTTGATGCATGCGTCTAGTAAGTAAAACTGAGGCACATTAGCGGCAAACTAACAGAATGATACAAATGTCGAACATTGTAGAGCAGCATAGCTGCAAGACTGATCCGTGCACAGGCAAGACATTTTTCTACCTGAGGTTACGTCGTGGATATCATACGCTCTACCTGAAGTGCTTATCAATCTTGCACGGCGGGAATGACGATATAATTATCAGGGAGACTTCTCTATAGTACGCAAGTATTTATGACAATTCAGCGGTCTAGTTTTCCACGGTATTTGTCGAATTATTCGACCACCAGAGATTATTTTTCAACGCTAGGCTGACATTCCTCAAGTATTATCCGATTCTTCAAAAATCAACTTGGTAAAGATGATCTAATGCATTTGGGAAAATAACTTGTTCCTAAATGTCTTTGAAAAAACATACTACATTCTTGACAATTTCATTTTAACCATTTTCAAAAATAACATAAACAATCAATGCATATTGATCTATTATGGAGATAATTTCATCTAAGTTAAGATACTTACGTTTCATTCATACGCCTTGCATGCATTTTTTCTTCGGTTTCAACGTCGTTTTAAGAATATTCTCATCATAAATCACCGAAACACGGAATTCATGTAAATAATTACTCTTAATGCTTATCCATAGTTTGATCATCCCTTTAAAAAATTGGACGTCGTGAACATCTTGAAACCTCCGAAATCTTTCACAAGTACACAACAGCCTCGACGAATTATAGTTTGATCAGTCGTTCCCTTCTACATTTTTGTTTTACTAAGAATTGGAAATTAATTTCTCAAGTCATAAACCGTTACGAACATTGGATTGAAGAAAAATCAGAATAAAGTCGAATACTTCGAGACCATAATATGCTCCTACCATTCGCCTTGATTATTTTTACTCATATTAATGGCCAGGACAATCTAACAATAGCAGGGCCTTATATCCCAGCTCCAGTTTCTAAAAATGTCGACATGACAGAGATCGATGAGGAATAAAGATTGCAAGTCGGATTGTTAGCCGAACGTCTGGGAAACGTCTTAATGTTCGTTATCCCGCTGGTCATTTATATAAATAAGAAACATCAGCGATACCTGACTACTGTGGAAGCAACCACCATCAGCAATGACTTCACACTTTGCATTATCTCGTCAACCTTTTGTGATCACCGGGAATAAAAAATAAAACGAATGCTGTAATAAGGGTAAAAAAATGGTCTTGTATCGTTAGTCCTCATTCAAAGATGCATTTCATTGCAAGACGAAGGAGCAGATGGAGAGAAGGTGAAAAATGAATAAATATCAAGATGAATACCAACTGATTGTCCAATTAATTCTGTAATAGGAGAGCGATAATTACAAGTTGATGAAAATGTTCGTTTCCGAAAAAAGTCGGGATGAAATAATGGTGATTCCTATTCGGAAACCGGTAAGTTTCGTCATCAGGATATGTGACATATGCGAACTGGAGAATTATTTATTGTGATGAGATACGGTTAACAGGTCGTCATAACACTCGATAGAACCCCTTCCAAACTGAGCCCCCTAAACAAATAAATATACGGACGAACCAGTTACTTAACCAGCGGGTCCATGGCTGTTTAGGAACTGAGGTATCTTCGGCTTCAACTCAAAAGGAATGAAAATAATTTTGGAGAAACAATAACAAGGATACTGGAGAGGGAATTATGAGAACTGGTGACAGACGGGATACTGGTGGAGAAAAACCGTAGGAATAATAGTGGACCAGATCTACTGGTCGATTTGCACAGGGGATTTTATATTGTATTCCTGGAGATATTGAAACTGCAAATTGATTGTAGTTGATGGGGTATTCAACTTTTGCACTGTTTAGTCAGCCTTCATCCCGTTCTTTCTCGTTCTATCAGATCATATCTATTTGATAGTTGAAAAATTATTCGCATGATTATTATGATTATTTTTCGTGAGTGAGATCGCTGGATGATCCTCGAGGGTTCCAACTTCACCTCGAAGACCACCCAGCAACCTAAGCCATAGAAACAAGTTCTAATTGCTCTGCAGTAGTTCTTCCTCGAACCAGAGGGTGAGCACTACTGCAGTTCGGAATCATGATGTTTTCTGGCCAGCCAATATTAAGGTATGGCGCCTGCAGACTGGAATCATCTCAAGCGCAGATACAAAAGACTGTTTCATACCGCCAACAGAGCCAATGATCACGACGATCAGGCTAACCTTAAATCCACAATTTAACTGAGGTAGCTCAAAAAAAAATCCTGGTATTCGACGCGTTTCTCCGCTTCCTTCGTATATATATTGCTGTCGGCTGGCACCTAAAACCCAATCATGTATTTTCAATCTCCGTCAGAGCGACAAGCCTGATAGTCGCAAACGGTGAGTTCCAGTATTACTATTATTATTATTAGTTCAATCATGGATAAGTTCTGTGAAAAAATGAATTGATTAAACTCAGTCTGAGGCCGGTTGGACTGCCGGAATTGAGCATGCATTTTTTCCTCCTCCGTTAAACTCTGGGATCATGACATCGGGCTAGAGCTACTGCAGTATTTTGACCAGACTTCGTCGTCCAAATATTAGCCGTACTCGGGGGAGTTGTCAGATTGCGATTTGGTAGATGCTTAGAACAGCCCCACCAGAAATATTCTCTACTGCCTCTGGTTTTCTCTGGTGGAGCAGATCTAGACATTTACCGGCGATTTTATTCAAAAGGTTTTTTAATTTCTTGTAGTCGCGATCAATTATTTGTCGTCGATAAAGTCATTGTCATCGATGGACGCCTTTCAAATAATCTTATGGATTTTTCACTGAGACCTCCTATTATATACCTTGCTGAGTAGAATTTTTAGTGAGGGTCTAATGAAAACGATCAAGTCAGACTTGATGACTGATCCGGAAGTAACATGGTAACTGGATCAAATGCTGATCAGATATGTAACGTAAATTTAAATGAAGACTTGATCCAATTTTTTTGATCCGCTCGAAAGGGTCCGGATGTGATCAAACCAGACGTATCGAAATCGGATGACCGGAATATCGATAACAATTATAAATATTAAGCACAACTCACTCAAAGTAAAAAGGGATTAATTTCTTTTATTATTGATTAGTTTTCCGATCCAAATATTGACCAATAGAATTGCACCATTCGCCGTCACCTAGTACAACCTACATGATGTTGTGCGGATCATTTTTTGATAATTTTCTTTCGTAGTTGCTATATACAGGGTCTCCTATTTGAATTTGTACAGTCAAATAACTTTTAAAAGAAGGCGCCAATTGAAAAAATTGTCAGATCAAAGTTGTAGGGCCCGAAGGAGAACACCTTATGCACCATGCGATTTGTTCATATCAAGTTGGTGTTGGAATATTTCAGTAGCGCTCTTTCATTCTCCTGTAAAAATCACACGACATTAACTTATAACATTCTGGGAAACAGCTCTACTAATTCATTTAGAGTTATAAAACTGTTTTGGTATTTTCGTTTCCCTGAGAGAGTTTCCCATTTATTCTAGTGTTGTCTCTGGACAACGGTTAATACGTTCCTCGTGTTGATACAAAATATTTTATAAAGTGTTTCACCGAGTTTGTGAATTTATTTATTTACTTATACCCATATTTCAATAGTTGACTTTTTCAACGGCGAAGGTGGTTCGGATAGTTGAGGCAAGCTGAATCATGCTGACTAAGGTGTCATCCTTATTTAACGAAAAAAAAACACACCAAATACCCAAAAAGTACCTATGCGTGTGTGTATGTTTTGAGAAATCTTCATTTCATTGGCAATTGATACTTTTGTAAGAGCTCGCAATATCGATCACCGGTCAAGCCTAATGATCCAAACTCGCATTTCAAATAACGGATCGTAAACACCCGAATAGTTCAGCTCTTATTCCTTCCGATGTGTTGACCGATTCGATTGTATGATTAAACGAAACTATCGCATTATAATTTATTGAGCTAGTGAAATTGTGGATATTCTCCTAAATTTGGGAACCTGCGATGGTAGACATTAAGCTACTTCACGATTGTATCACAAGCGGTTTCCGAATCGTACTCGTCATCCTTGGGTTTCGTGCATTAGGAATATCGAAAATTTAATTTAATTTAAAATATTAAATTTCCGGTGTGGAAGAGGTTTGCAGCGACACCTGTGACGTCTAGAACCTGATGATCCTCCTGTCCTTACCTTACTTTTTACGACCTAACGTGATTACAGGAGTTGTCTTATATATGTATGGTGGGGGTAACATCCGGTGATGGCGCATGCGCGTGATTGAAATGTGAGGGCAAAATGGTTCGAATTTTCATGCACATGTTCGGATATTTCCTTTTTGATAAAAAAAACTACAATTAAAGTATGATCGTTTGGATTCAACATTTAACAGTGGAAATGAGAGTGGGATGCTTGTGAACTTGACAAAGCAAAATTTCATCATCAATTAACGATTAAAGGACACCGATAATTTGTTTGATTTTGTCGAATTTATGAATTTTAATTTGTCATCGGGAGTGGGAAATATAGAAATGAAAAGTTTGAAAAATTATGTCAAGTCAGATCTATTAACAGCATAATAATATTTGATAATTGTTTTCCAACCAATATTTCCACTCCAAGAAATCTATGAAAGGTACGACATTTTTTTTATAAAGACGATTAAAAGAAACCAATAATCAATCGAAAGCATAACAACAAAAAAACAATAATTGAAAAAATATTTCAATTTAAAAAATAAGAAATTTTTCTATTTTACTTTTCCCACCATCAAGTTTCTGCCACCACCATTTGTTTCAATATCCCCACGACTCTTGCCTACGCGCAAGGTATCGTGGGCCCGAAGGTGGTGCAGCCATAAACTTTATGGCTTAGGGCAAGTTTGCCTAATGGAGGTCGGAAGCTGGAGTAGCTCCGAGAACTGAGGTTGCCCACCTCTGATATAACCCACATTCTTCCAGTCAATTACGACGAAAAATCGAACTTTTCCGTCTGGTGATGACAGAAAGAACAATGCGCACCGAGTAAAAGAAACAGGACCTTTTTTTATAGTTCTAAGACCCAGGAGCTGTCTGATTCTTAGATACTTTCAAATAGATAACACTTTGAACATTTCTCTCTTAAACAGTGGGACCTAAATACCTTCAATTCAGAAACAGGTTCGAGAGGGTTGGGGAGAGGATTGTATTTAATATTTTCGATGTACAATCCCACGTGTTCGCAATTGCGTTGGAATGGCGGCTGGGCAAGCAAGGGTATCTCTAAACGTGAGTAAGGCATGGATGCCGAATTGTTGCCATATTGTCGATTTTGTATGTGGTTGCACATGCATTAAGATGACTTCTCAAATGATTGAAATTAAATGATTAAAAATTATTTTAAAAATGTTTTGTGGTTAAATGCTTGTAGTTTTCGTGAAAATAAAAAAAATCAGATTGCTACTTCAGCCTTTGATGGGTGGTATTTTTCTAATCGCGGAAGGTTAAATAAAGGAGATGCTAGATTACCAACTGAGGCGAAGACGAGGTTAGGACACCTTTTTCCATTGCGGCGCAGGCGCCAAGTCAGATTTCTTTTCCGCCAACGTTACGAACTGTCCTGCTTTCTCCTATTTTACCTGCCAACGTTAGAAAAATAAACTTTTTTTCTCTATTATATTTACTGAATATGCTTAAAAAAAGGGTCCAACCACGAAAACGAGCAGTTTCTTCGGGCTTTGATTAAAAAATCATTAGATGGGGAGGAAACAAATATTACTTATTTTGTTATGAAAAGCGTAAAGTCGAAAGTTACAAGATGTGTATTTAAATAGTATATCACGCAACAAGTTTGTTATGGGTTTTTGGCTCCAGGGAAGTTCCACAGCCCCATGAGTCAAAAAACATCATAACGCAGCAGTTTCGTATAGGTTTTAATGTCAGTGGTCTGAGAATCCGCGATTCTACCCAGCAAAGCACGGTCAGAAACGCATGATTCTAGATACCTGTGGAATAACAAAAATTATTTGCCTGATTTTTTCCAATTAAAGAAAATATTGATAAAATTTGACAAGCTATCTTAATCTATGTGCAACCATTCAAAAATCCTCTTTGGTTTCCAGGGTAAACTTGATACTTGTATGTTGAGAATTCAATAACTCCACGAATTGAAAAAGGACTGTCTTCCTATGTGACCAGGTGATAAAGGTGTCATCCACATACCTGAACCACTTGGAGGGTTTCAACGGTGCTGACGTCAATACTTTGTTCTTAATGTGTGCCAAGAATATTGTTACATCGTGAAAATAAAGGGAGTCAACACTTGATTAATTAATCACTTGGACGGAGAGTTCATTAATTTAGGAGAATACAGTCGATGATCTCTTTAATATTTCTGATACTAAAAGAAGAAAAGACAATCGTCCTTGGACAGACTTCACAGACTTTCTTTTTAGATGGCGTTTTTAAGTGAGTCATTCGAAGGAGCATACGCAATACTACTACCCGTCGACAAAGTGGTTGCCGCCCCGGCAACCAAATTAGGGACTATTTGAGATATTCCAACTTGCTAAATTAAAATTGTAATCATAGTAAAGAAAATTTGGCATATCTCATGTAGGGAGGGCCTTAATTTGTCTTTCAACTGAAACCTCCCAAAAATCAGCATTGAAAAGCAATCCCGAATCACTCTTGCATACCCGCTAATTTTTAACAATATAAAACGAATGAATGAATGATACAAAGATTTTCATGAAAAATGATAATGAAATTTATGGTAATTCTCATTCATTCAGATAGTGTTTATATAAATTTGGGTAGTGAGATCGTAGTTTTGAAAAGGAATAGCAAGGTCTCAAAGAAAAAACAAAAGAAATGGCACAACCCGAGACGCCCACACAAGAACTCTGCACACAAGTTCACTATTTTACAGAAATGACTACCACTCTCCTGGCAACAACTTCTCTCAATAATAAGAGAAAACTGCTCAAAGTTTCTACTACTCAAAATAATTAATTGATCATCAAACTAATGACAAAATCATCATAGCCTTTTCACTCAAGGCAAGCCTGTTCACTCCTGGTGGTCTGTTCACTCCAAACCAATCCTTTCACTTAGGACTCAACAGATCTGCCTGTTCACTCCAGGTAAGCTAGTTCACCCCTGGCAGTCTGTTCATTCGAGACCAATGATTAGTTTGTTGATTTTATTCAAAGATTGTCTTTATTTTAAATTGAAGGAGCCACAAAAATTTTGAAATCACGATTCAGAAACGTTTTGAAACAAACGATTCAGAAGGTAAACATAGCGGGTCTAATCAGCAGTTTCTAATGACCAAAGACGATTTACGTGAACACTCTTCAATTTCCGATGGGGAAATTTTTTAATACGGTAGACGACGTGATTCAATTTTGACTTGACAATATAGGTCTTCTCCCAGTCTGTTTGATGTTTTCTTTTTGTCAAAAGGACACTTCCTTTTGGTTCTCTTGGGGGCAAAGATCCAAACTTTTTGCAGAGACTGAAAGGGGATCATGTGAGTCTTCAGATCAAATTTGGATTTCCTCTTTTCATTTTTCATATTCCAACGTTCTCTGACTTGATGAGGAATGACAACCAATTTTTCTTGAAGCTGTTCAACGTCCTTCGGAAGGTTAATGTTACGTGATGTGTTATTAACTGGGGGATTACCGGATAGTAAGTGTAAAGGAAGACGAAGTTCTTTATCAAACATCAATATGGCAGAAGAAAATTCGGTTGTTTGATGTCTGGATGAGCGATAAGCCAATAGAAATAGGGGGAGTCACTTATCCTAATTTCTCTGGTTGTCATTTACAAATTTAGCGAGGTAATTCAGGATCGTTCGATTCAGACGTTCGACCATGCCATTCGACTGAGGTCGAAGTGGAGTCGTACTGATCTGAATGGATCTCGAGTGAGAATCGGAAACGAGACACTATATGGTGTGATGAACTCCGTGAAAATTCATCACCCGTGCGGACAAATAAAAGAGGAAGACAGGAGATAGAAATAGAATTTAACTGTAAAATAAAATACTGGCAGGCGGGAACGGAGGGATGAGTGAGTGTACGAAGAAGTAGGTAAAATTAATAGGGAAGGAGTTAGTGCAGAAGGGGATAAAATAAAAGCAAGCAGAGACAGAGGGAAAGGAATATCGGAAGATATCGTGGAGCTGCGAGGAGTTATCTGCCGAATACGTGCTCCGCGAGATCACCCGCCCGGAGTGGGCCTGGCTTGCGAGAGGCAAGATAGACGGCAGACCAGGCACGGATCTGTGGAGGAGGAGACACGCGGCTACGTCGGAGTGATGACCCGCACCCCCAACTGTCGAGGGGATGGACCACCGAAGATGGGAAGCTTCGTCACGATACGAAACCCATCGCCGCGAGGGTACCCAGCAGCGAAAAGGACCAAGTGGAAAGTCTTCCGGAGGCAAGCCGCGCAGACCCTTCTCCGTTCCTGAGCAACTCGCGAGGAGGGGAGAGCCAGAGGATACCGCAGTTAACGGAGTCGTGAAGGGGAGTCGACGTTGGGCAGCGATGGGGAGCTCACGTGTACGGGAGACGATCAGCGAGGCCCTGAAGCCCGCGAGGTCGTGCCCGGAACATCCACCTCCTAGCTCGAGATGCCCGGAAGAGCACTCGAGCTGAGGAGTGGCCCCAGGGGTAGCCCAGGAGGCTTTTTAGCCCTGGGGCGACCCTGGGAAGTGTTATCGGTACCGGGGGCAACCCACCCCCAGCCCGGGGAGTAAGAAGCTCAATTCCCAGAGGCAGGGGTTGGGGCGACCCCCCAGGTAAGCCCCGTCCCCCCGCCGTCGACACGAGATTATTAGAAAATATGTGGTAGAGCAAGTGCGAAGTGTGAGTGTGAGTGTGGGTCCCGCCTGACGCGGTGAAACCTGAAGCAGGAAATAGAGATGGTAAACTATAAATCACGCGGAGTTGAGTAGATCTCTGGACCCCGTCCTCTCTCCAAAACCTACATCCTGAGCAGCACGGGCACGTAACCCCATCCTAGCCTCGCGTCCCCGGGGGGGACAGTTAACGGATCAGGAGGATAAAAACGCGCTATATGGGGGTAAGTAGGGAGCATCAAGGGGCCAGTTGGCGAATCTGGCATACACCAAAAGCGCAGCAGACAAGGGTTTCTCCGAGCCGCAGGTTGAAAGCCCAGTCTCGTCCAGGGGTGACACTGGGTGAACAAAGTCACCTGGCGCCTGACGAATATTTAAACAAGAAAGCAGTTCGGGGAGTCTAGGGCAAGGGTGGTACGGGTGCGGATTGGGATCGCCAGTGGGATAGCCGCACTCGAAGAAAAGCGTTACAATGGATCACCAGAGCTTCCACGATCGTAGTTGCCTGATGATCGGGAAGTGCAATAGCTTCAGCCTAACGCGAAAAATAATCAGAGACAATCAAAATGTAACGATTTCCTGATGTGGATTTTGGGAGTGGACCTAGAATGTCAATGACAATTCTTTCGAGTGGAAAACTGACATTATAAATTTGTAGTTTTCCTCTGGTGCAGCTAACGGGTCCATCTCGACTGAAACAAAATAAATATTTTTTACACCAGAGCTCAACGTCCTATTTGCAAGTCGACCAGAAGAATTTTCTGCGAACTTTGTCTAGCATTTTATTGACTGTAAAATGACCAACAGGTGAAGAATTGTGAGTTTCAGTGAGAATTGCTGGTATTACCGATTGCGGGACAATAATTTGATGAGCGATTTCTGTTGATTCAACTGATTCCCATGGCCAGTAGAGAATACCGTTTATTAGTTCTAGAGAATTCCAATACAATAGATAAGCTTTTATACTGGGATCTAAATGAGTGATTTCTTGCCAATCAGGACGCCGATTACTCTATTTGGATTGAATCAGTGTATTCAAGGTGAGGTCCTTAGCCTGAAGTTTACGCCAATCGCATCTATCATCAGTCACGTAAGTATTGCGAAAAACGTACTTTTCAGTTTCCTCGTTTAGAGAATGGAATCTAGCACATTTTTTACACGAACAAGGGCGTCGAGATAGGTCTGTGAACAATCTCGAAATCAAATCGAAAAAGTGATTCAAGCTAGCGGAATACTTGTCCTTCAGGGTTCTTAAAAGACAAAAGCCAAGTTGAAGCTGCGTGCTCAGTGTGGATGACGAATTTCCGAGAAGATAGTGACGGAAGTTCTCGATCGACCCGACAACTGCCAAAAGTTCTCTTCGCGTGACACACTAATTTCTCTCAGCTCTGTTTAGGCAATTACTGAAATACACAATGACTTTCTCCTCACTATTTTGTATTTGTGAGAGCGTTGCTCCAATGGCAAACAAAGAAGCATCAGTGTCAAGGATGGAGTCAGCATCTACCGCCAGAACTGACAAGGTAGGAGAAGAAGTCAAGACGAACTTCAGTTGATCGAAACTAATCTGAACTTCTGAAGGCCACGCAAAAAGTACCTTATCCTTGCTCAAGGTGTATAGGGGTTTGGTAATGTTGGCGAAAATCTTCACATATTTCGTGTAATAATTACAGGTACCAAGAAAGCTTCGAAGTTCACTGATCGGTCGAGGTGTAGGCCATCCGACAATGGCAGAACGGTCTTTCCTTTTGACTAACACGGCTGTAGAAGCTCAAGGGCCTTGGCTAGGTTCTATTACTCTTTTTTGTTTCATGTTGTCTAATAAATTGCAAATTTTACTACGATAGTGGAAAGGAAACCTTTGTGGATTCTGTTTAATTGGTTGAAGATTTTCTAAAATGATTTTGTGTTTACTCCCTTCATAAACCTTCATAGACGAAGATCCTTGGGATTCTTAGAAAATGATGGTTCATATTTCAAAAAAAATTGTTCCATCTTTTTTTGTTCATCTGAATGTAATTGATCACATGAGTTTTCAAATAGTCGATTTAAAAACTCAGCAATTTCGGTAGTCGTTTCGACAATGTCGACAGATTTTACTTGACTGACAGAGACAGATTTGAGAGGATTATCAATATCGAATTCGTTATGGATGAGAGACTGAAAGTCGTTTAATAATCCTGAATTGATAAGGAAATCCAATCCCAAAATGCAATCGTTTTGAATGTCAGCAAAAACTGCATCTAATATCACAGAAGAATTTTCGATCGAAATTGTGCTTTGTTTGATGGCTTTATATGGGAAATTGTGATTAGAAACTGTGTAACTTGTCATGGGTTAAACTGCCTCTCGTGATTCCCCCAGATTGATATCAAATACACGAGGATTGACTAGTGTAATGTCAAATGTCAAATCGATAATCATTGTGCAAGAGTATCCATTTATTTTTCCTTCAACTGTTAAATTTAAGTTTAATTTCTGTTGATTAAAATTTTTTAATTAAAAATTAAGTG